AGATCCTAGAAGTGAAGAAGCTCCATTTTCAAAGGCTGGATCCGGAGCGGGTATGCCCTGATGGCCAAACTCGCATCCCGATGGTGCACTGGATGTTTCGACACGCGCCAGAGCAGCCATTCAGCCCGATTCGCAGGGAGGACGTTGAAGTACTGGTGGAAAGCTCTGGCTATTTCGTCTGCATCGCTCCTGCAAACGCCGCCAAGCGCATCAGGCGCTCCGAGACTGGGCGCCAGTAGTAGGAAATCATCCATGTTTGTTTGAAAGTCTTCTGTCTGTTGCCAATAAAAAGGGCGCCAAGCTTTTCATCCCGTCCCGTAGTCGAGCAAGGAATGCGAGCTGGTCTTCGATCATAGTAATTTGTTTGTCAAGGAGCCGTGGTACTCGAGCATGTCTCCGCACAAATGGTGTGAACAAGTAGGGGTGGGAAAAGAAGACACCGAGGCTTACCTCCAGGTGGGGAGTCCAGAAATTAGGGGTCGTTACGATGCTTCCAATAAGGGTTGACTATCGTGTTTTGCAGTATATCCATTGCATTTCCGTATTTTGCCCAGGCAATCGAGAACAACATTACCGGGGTGGCTCCCAACTCGTTTACTCTGGCCGCCGTTTCAAAGCTGGATGGCAATGTGGTGGGCTATGTGCACTGCACGCGACGCCCCTCTGACCCTAATTAGCTCTTTGGCATCTTTTTGGGTTGGGCCCGAAGGATGCTTCAATTTCTGCTGTCTCTTCCCGGTATCCAAAAAATGGGGGCGGGGCCTGAAACAAAAGCTTTTTTGTAGGTAGACCCTAAGCCCGAAATCCCAAACCCAGTCAGCCCAGGCACAAAAGAGCTAAGCATTGGCCATCTAAAAGTGGACTGGGAGCACCAGAGCCGGGGCGTCGGCGGCATGTTGATCCTCAGCCACTCTGGAAACGTCTTCGGCTTGTCTGTAATCCCGCGGACTAAGAATGGAAAAACATCGGTAAGAAAATCATATTAGGGCTAATGTCGGGACTTCTAGTTGATATTAAAAAATCCTGCAGGTACTCATACAAAAATACAGTTACTACGAAGGAGTAGTCTACTTAGGGTCAAGCCAAAATTTGGGATTCCACCGTAGCACGCTAATTCCCAGACCAAGTGCACCTGAAGTTCTATTGATATAGATACCTATTTCAGAGCCAGGATTGCTGCTGGCGAAAAGTCGGCACAAGAGCGTGGCTGGAGCTTCGAAAACACCTGCCTGGCAGTTCTGAAAAAGAACTACCAGGCGCGCAGTTGTTACTGCAAAGACGGCTTTCGGCAAACGTCCGAGAGCCAGGGCAACTTCCCCACTGAAGGTGGTGATCCTGAGCGCTGGCACACCATGTCCCGCGGCGCAAAACGGGCCGCGGACAGCGACTCGGGCGTGCCAACAAGGAAACTCCGCCGGAGAGACTGAATTCATATGTATTCATGGCACTGTGATGCACTGTGCAACGTTTCAAAACGACAGCGGACAGCGTGGTTTGTAGAGAATGTAGAGAGCTTGCTATTTACGCCAGACCATTTGGCATCAGGTCTTCGTGGCTGAGGACAGGTAGACTCATCATCTTTGTGTTTGCTGGTCATGGGCACTATCAGTCACTAGCACTACAAGGCTTTCACGATGTTCACGGGTATGCGCACGGGCAACACTTGCAGCAGATCCTGGCCTACTTTACCCTAAACCCCTAAACCCTTATCCCTAAACTTCAAGGCAGCTGGAGGCGTTGAGAGGGTCTTGAAGTACTCGAGACAAGCCAAGCTCCTCAGATTTGCTCGCGTACTTTCAATCCCTGCCACTTCCCTCACCGAGTTCATAAACCTGAAGTAGCCCAACAGCCCACTAGTTTAGGACAGTGGCATGGCAAAGCCTCCAAAGGTGTTTTTCCGTGTGGTGGAGCGTCACTACATCCAGTATACTACTCTCCCTCAGACACTCTTTGACTTAAGCACAGAGGCTATCTTCCCTAAGACCTAGTACCTTTCTTTCCGTTTTGCGTATGTCACTGATCCTGCACCCCCCAGTTCTGTCTGTGGGGCCGGGTAGGAATGCTTGATGCATTGAAAATCACTTTATGTTCCTATTGGATGCGATCCGACAAGAGATCTCCTTGTTTATCAGCAGCTATTCTGAATGTCAGGCGCCTGCACACGGACCACAAGTACTTCCTCATCGACAGCGTGGCTTTCCAGGAGCGAAAGATAGCGTGGAGAGAGCTCAAGCTAGAGTAAAGAGCACTTTCTCATTGGACTGAGTTGTCACGAAGCATGCCGCTAAACCTGAAACCTCCTGAGGCAAACCGCCGGTCCGCAGACACGCTTCAAATACATCAAATGAAGATCGTGCTGAACAAGAAGCAGGCGCATGGCGCGTCTGTGGTAAAATGGCTTCTTTGAAAGGCTCAGCAAGCCTGGCTAAAGTTTGCCAGTGCCTGTGCAGAGCCTGCTGCTTTTGTTGCAGGACCCCTTGGTAAGCTTCTTGGCCAATCTTCTTCATGTTGTCAGGCATAGACTGCCATGGCATCTGACCTAAGAGGCAGCCTAGACACGATAGTCGCGCTAGGTCGCCATGTTTCAGCCAGTCCACGCCGACGTAGCCTTTGAGAAGTGTTCTTGAATGAGTTGAAGGTTATCAGGAGGTTTCAGGTTCTGCCGCGGCCCCTGGCCTGTGGCAACGCACGGTGGTAGCTTGGCCTGCGCTCATAGCTGTCCTTTCATGCAGGGCTACACAGGGCTATCGCAAAACTGCACGCTATGGATCCGGCTTTGACTATGACGAAGAGTATCAAGGTCTGCACTGCTTCACGACACAAGCTCTGAAGAGCGTGATGCGTTTGGGGAGGCAAGCGACGAGTAGCATTGCCGACGCTACTGCAGGGCTACCGCACCTTATGCGCGACAGGCAGATGTCTACCAGCAACAGCAGCAGCAGCAGCAACACATGGAACCAGCAATCGGCACAATCAACTCAGGGTCGACGTAAATGTGGTTTCTACTTGAGACCCCTTGTAGCCTCACAGTCCTGAACTCCACCACCCCAGCCTAGAATCCAAAACCTGCTTCCGCCAAAGCCAGAGCGCAAGAGCCAGGCACGCTGAAATTTCCTATTCACTTAATACACTCTTTAGAAGTGCGCCCGAAGTGCTAACAAGTATGAACGAAGCCCGTTGTACTTGGCCTGTCCGGTGTCCGTCAGCAGGTATATGAGTCATGTCACCCTAATCATCCATCAGCACTCCCTCGCCTCGGTCTGCCTCTTGCAGTTCGATTCGAGTCCC